GTCCTAGGTTTTGACAGATTCTCCAATTTTGAGTCAAACATCGGAACTGGAGGATACATCAATATATCCTTTTTAAGGATTCCAAAAAATAGTTGTCTATTTTAAGACTATGATCATTTATTTCTTCTAGAATTTTTTTCACTTACTCTATCACACTACTTGATTGATAGATAACTTGTTATCTACTACTTTATTATACAACGTTTGGTTAAACTCTTTTCTTGATTTGAGGTTCAATTTTTTTCTCCAATAAAATTGATGCTCTACTCTTTCTTTTAACTATTTATTATGATCCACTCTATCATATGAATTATTATCCATATTATAAATTTTCAATTCCAACCTATACTTTAAATATCGATAATAATCCTTATTTTATAAATCAATTACTCTATATGCTTGTAATTTTTTTAAAGCCTTAAACTCATTATAGAGTTTTAGTTAATCTGAAATCTAGAAACTTCAATTAAGCTAAGCAAAATTAATTTTATAAACACTAAGATTAATTTATTAAAAAAATTTTGAATTAAAATATAAGAATTTAAAGTAATAATTATTTAATTACCAACTGAAAACACCTAACAATATTATATATTAATACTCAATTATAATAAATTTAAAAGAAATTCCTCAAATTCTATCGATTCTTCTTACTGGATATAAAAGCTAAAGAGTTATTAGTTTACATTGAATTAATAACTTAATTAATATAAAAAGTAGTAAAAAATTAAATAGAGATACATAGATTAAAAAATGATAATTCAAGATTAAATTGAGTTATTATGATTATCTTAATAAACCAGAAAATTAGTATTAATAACTTAAAATCTATTTTTATTATGTTGACTTTACAATTACTTAAAACAGTGAAGCAAATATCTACAAATTTATTGTAATATATATAAATCCAATGAACTTTTTGAAACTAACTCAGAAAAGGTGTTAAATAGTGTTTATAAAATTTCTAACATCTTTGGACCTGAAGCGCTGTCATCAATACTAATTATTCAAGATACTTTTGAAATTATCAATTTTACCCTTTATTATGCAATTGATGAAAAGAATGTAAATAAATATTATAAAGATTAAAATTCTAGAAGAAATACTAATATTATTTGCAGTAAATCCATAAAATTTAGAAATTGAAGAACAGATAGCAGCAATATTTTTGGTAAAAAACAATACGTAAAGCTGATAAATAATATGATGCAAAGTAATAAGAATAACTATTTACTTTATTCATTACCATTCAATATTCATATATTATAAAATCTTATTATACTTTATGTTAGAGTGAGTTATCTCTTATTTGTTAAATTTTGGAATAAAAATAATTGAAAAAAACTTGAAAAAATGTTTTAATAGGTACAAAATTCATTATGAGAAATATTTGGAAAAAAAAATAAGAAGAAAAACTTAGTATTAATGAAAAATTATTCATTAAAGGATTAAATTAAATATTATTTGTTGAATTCGTAATTTAAATGATTTTAAACGTAATAATTGTATAGAAATGTTGAAATAAGAGAAAAAAAGTATAACACATTTTTTGATATATCTTAACATACCTTCTATAATTTTTGTTGGATGAAACTTTAAATTCAATAAGTTGAGGCTTTGAAGAAATTAGAATCTTTAAATTTTATAACATAGATTTGAAGTATCTTTGAGGAAGAGATTCGATACAAAAATTCAAATATTTTCAAATTGTAAAATAATGAGTAAACCAAAAAGTTTTTAAGAATTTGTTAATATAAACTTATGCTCTCCATTCAAGTATATCGTAATAGATTATATTTTCTTTTACTTTTTATAATAGTAACAAAAAGTGAGAAAATGGAATTTCGATTGGTTGTTTAAGATTTACACAAATTAAACAAAATTTAATTCAAAAAAAAGTAGAAATATTAAAGGTTTTTATAATGATAATTTGAAATATAAATTATATATTTATACAATTTTATTCTTTGTTGATTAATGTCATAGGAATATTTACGTATTAAGGGTGTAATTATAGTTAAATAATAATATCATTTAAAATTTATGCATTTAGCTTATAGAAAATCTGAATTTGGAGAGATAGCAATAAGAACAGATAAACCATTTTATTTTGCAGGCGACTTGGCTAAAGGTGAATAATTTATATAAACTTAGGTAATATCTATTTGAACATTTGCAAAGAAGGTTATTAAGGAAATATCCTTCAATTTACAATAGTAGGAAAAGAAAAAAGTGAATGGGAGGAGGGAAGAGGTGATGATTAAATAACTTATAGAGGGAAAAACAAATTCTATTCTTAATCAGTTCCAATTTACAGATTCTAAAATCAGATTGCCTAAATTGGATAATATGTTTTTCCTTTTCAATTTTAATTACATCCAAATATTCCTGGTTCATTTGACTATAAAAATATTCATGAAAATGGTTCTATAACCTACAAAGTGAAAACAAAATTTACATCAACATAACAAAATAAACCAAGTATGAGAAGCAAATAGGAATTCTTGGTTAGAGAACCAATCAAATAAGAAGTGATTAGTTAGCAGTTGGAAAGAACCTCTAATATTTATGCTTGTTGTTGTTTTAATAAAGGAGTATTTATATAAGTATAATTTTAAAGACTTCAAGACTAAAATGTTTCTGTGATAAGAATCATTATTTGCAAGGAGACACTGCTTTATTGACTATGGAAATAGATAATTCGAATTGCAATTTGAATATTGAATATTTTGAGATTGAATTAATAAAGTAGTTGATATTAAAAGCTGATGCTAATACACATAAAAATACCTAAAAAATATTAACATAAAGAATTCCAGGAATTTAGGCTAGATCTAAACAAGTTGGCTCTGAAAGCAGAATTGTTTAATTAATTCTGATGAATCAAAAAAGACCTTAACTTGTATTAACTCCTACAACTAATGGTACACTTTTGAATCAATAATATTATCTAAAGGTTACACCAAAATTTTAAGGTAGCTTATATTCATATTTATAAGGTTGTATTTGTTGTTCAGCTAACCCTGTAATATAGTTCTAAATAATAATGTTATATTTGATTCCACCTGATTACATATAACCACTTCAGTAACCATCTGATTGGAAACCTTAAACATTTGAACCTGTTTTGATAAACTTTGATTAGTAGAATTATTTAAATATTGCAAATAAATAAATGCAATAAAATGATCCTTTTATGAATGAAAAGTGATTCAGGGTTAAAATAAAGATTTTAATAGATAAAAATATTTTATAATCATTTAATTAAAATCAATTAATAATAACTACACATTATTGATTAAAAAAAAAAAAAGTTCTTAAAATAATCTGTAAGATCAATATTAGTAATGTAATTAATATTCTAAAGTATTAAATGAAAGAAGAGTAATAACAGATTTTTTTTAAATAAGAATTCATTAAATAAAGTATCAAATTATAAAGTTTGAATTAAAATCAATTGAAATATTTAAAATAAAATAAAGAAATAATAATTATTTAAAAGATCGAATCTTGAATTAGAACTCAAAGTTATTAATTTGATAATTTGCTTTATTATATTAATATTTTATAAACATAAAAATTATTTAAAAATATAATTTTGTTTAAATTTTTAGATATTAAATATATCCTAAGACCTAAGGTCAAACCTCAATAACTTCCCATAAATGATTATTATGTCTCCTCTAAATATAAATAAGATCTTCCATAAAAAACGATCTTTATTTAATTTCTTTTAGCTTCTGAATTCATTAAAATCTGGAATTAAAATACTTGATAACTAAAATCATGGTTTGAATTATACAANAAAATTTACATCAACATAACAAAATAAACCAAGTATGAGAAGCAAATAGGAATTCTTGGTTAGAGAACCAATCAAATAAGAAGTGATTAGTTAGCAGTTGGAAAGAACCTCTAATATTTATGCTTGTTGTTGTTTTAATAAAGGAGTATTTATATAAGTATAATTTTAAAGACTTCAAGACTAAAATGTTTCTGTGATAAGAATCATTATTTGCAAGGAGACACTGCTTTATTGACTATGGAAATAGATAATTCGAATTGCAATTTGAATATTGAATATTTTGAGATTGAATTAATAAAGTAGTTGATATTAAAAGCTGATGCTAATACACATAAAAATACCTAAAAAATATTAACATAAAGAATTCCAGGAATTTAGGCTAGATCTAAACAAGTTGGCTCTGAAAGCAGAATTGTTTAATTAATTCTGATGAATCAAAAAAGACCTTAACTTGTATTAACTCCTACAACTAATGGTACACTTTTGAATCAATAATATTATCTAAAGGTTACACCAAAATTTTAAGGTAGCTTATATTCATATTTATAAGGTTGTATTTGTTGTTCAGCTAACCCTGTAATATAGTTCTAAATAATAATGTTATATTTGATTCCACCTGATTACATATAACCACTTCAGTAACCATCTGATTGGAAACCTTAAACATTTGAACCTGTTTTGATAAACTTTGATTAGTAGAATTATTTAAATATTGCAAATAAATAAATGCAATAAAATGATCCTTTTATGAATGAAAAGTGATTCAGGGTTAAAATAAAGATTTTAATAGATAAAAATATTTTATAATCATTTAATTAAAATCAATTAATAATAACTACACATTATTGATTAAAAAAAAAAAAAGTTCTTAAAATAATCTGTAAGATCAATATTAGTAATGTAATTAATATTCTAAAGTATTAAATGAAAGAAGAGTAATAACAGATTTTTTTTAAATAAGAATTCATTAAATAAAGTATCAAATTATAAAGTTTGAATTAAAATCAATTGAAATATTTAAAATAAAATAAAGAAATAATAATTATTTAAAAGATCGAATCTTGAATTAGAACTCAAAGTTATTAATTTGATAATTTGCTTTATTATATTAATATTTTATAAACATAAAAATTATTTAAAAATATAATTTTGTTTAAATTTTTAGATATTAAATATATCCTAAGACCTAAGGTCAAACCTCAATAACTTCCCATAAATGATTATTATGTCTCCTCTAAATATAAATAAGATCTTCCATAAAAAACGATCTTTATTTAATTTCTTTTAGCTTCTGAATTCATTAAAATCTGGAATTAAAATACTTGATAACTAAAATCATGGTTTGAATTATACAACAATAATTAATTAATTTCTGAGAAAGTTAATTAATTCATTTGTACATAACAATTTAATGGAATTCTATATGATATTTCATAATATCATCTTTTCGAAATGCTATCTCTCTCATTATTTAAATATTATGATAAACTAATTTAGACATAAATAATTTATTATCAAATAATAAATCATGAATATGTTACTGCAATCAAAAATTAACATCATATATGGAAGACTTCATAATTATATAGTATTCTAAGAAATATAGATATTATTGATAGAATTAATTGATTATTATCGAATTCTAAAATTAAAATTAATAAAATGTATTCTTAAGATCAAATAGGTTAATTTGATATACTTTTCGATAAGAAAAATAAATTTTCTGCAATTCTAAGATCAACTAAATTAGTTATTATATTTTTTTATTGCTTTTTTATTTTTATATTATTTCAAAGACTTTCATAAAACAATAATTAAATTATTATTAACTCTTTATATGACTTAAAAGTATTTAATCATTTTAATGCTTCTTTATATAAATACTTTGATATCTTGGCAAAAAAATTGTTTTATAAAGAAAGCTGAAATAATATCAATAATTAGAGGAAACTATAAGAGTGCATTAAATGTAAATACAGGATCACTAATTTCTTCAAAAAATTAAAATTCTTTCTATGGAGGAATGATTGGTAGTTGTTTACGAAATGAAATTTATCAATTTTTAGGTTATACTTTTTGTTCGCTTGGATATTCAATTACTTTAGATTTAATTCATAACTTCGAATTAAATACTTTAAAGCTATGGTTTAGGGATGAAGATTATAGAGTTTACAGTGTTAAGGTTTTCTTAATAAATTAAGATCATGAAATTTAGATCTATGATGGTACTGCTTACAGTATAATTACATTAACATTTCCTGATTAATTAGTTAAAGGATTCAGAATACTAAATGCGAATGGAAATACAGGGAATGAATGGATGCATCTTATAAAGGTAGATGCCTTTTACAAATTATAAACAACTCAATTACAATGACTTTTTAAATATATTAATATTTTTATTTATCTTTTGTTCTTTTTAATTATATAAAAATATAAGAACACAAATAAATAAAAATTACTCATATTTTTTCACTCACAATTTTTAATTTATATATTCATTATTCATAAATCTCATTATGATTCTAATAATTTAATACATTTAATTGCATTATCAAATATTTACAGAATTACTACAATATTTGTTAACAATCATTTATTTTTAGAATGATTTAAGGTATAATTAATTGATAAGGTAATTTTAGAGTATTTAGAATTAGATATAATTGTTAGAATTCAATAAGATTGAATTATAAATACTATTAGTTTTAGAATACTTATATTTTCTATTGGAATTATAAGAATTATATAAATCCAATAATCTCTGATTAATAGGTTATATATAATTAATAAAATTAATAAATGAATTAAAATGAAGTTTGTAATGAACATAAATAAGTTTTTATTACAGTTGAGTTCAATTTAGATGGCCAATAAGACTTTACTCAAATGTGCTCTGTTTGTGTAGCATAGTAAATGACACAAAGAATGAATTAAGTGAATCCAGTAGGTAAAGTATTGACCTTAAACGACGCTTATTAATGTATAGAGGAAATAAAAGAGGAATTTAAATAAAATCAAGCTGTTAAAGTAAATACTATTAAAAATGCTTTGAATGAATTAAAAAATGAGATATAGATGATTTAAACAAAAATAAAATAAACTTGTGATAAATTATTGGAGAATATTCATCAAATGTTAGAAAATACAGCATAATCTATTAGTAAATTAGATACAAAATTAAAAGAGCTTCTCGTTCTTTCACCTACTGAATTGATAAATTAACTCAGAATTATTGAATAAGAGTTTGATTATTCTAAATAGAGTTAATTATTTAAATAATTAATTGATTAATTAATTATAGATGATTAACTCTAAAATTGTCGTAATATCATGAAAAATGAGGAAAAAAATGAAGATAAAACACTGAATAGTGTATAAGAGAAATTTAAAATAAAATAAACTAAATCACATGTATGTTTATATGTAATAAAATATAGAAAACTCCTCATTTAAGCATCATTTGTGAAGAACATAAAACTGAAATAATTTATCTTGATTTATCTAAAGATAGTAAGAGATCTAATAGATTATGTTGTTTATATTGTCAATTCAATTCATAAATATAATTTATTCCTGTGAAGAATGTTTTTGAGAAATGGGAAACATATGTAAAAGATGTTGATAATGTGATGGAATATTTGAATTCATTTTATGGTAATAAACATAGTTCTACAATTCTAACCGTTGATAAATTAATATCTTATTTACTTGAAAAGAAGTCTTTAATTTAAGAAAAATTGAACTAATACTTATAAGTAATTATTAGTAAAAAAGTTGAATAATATAAATAATAATATCAAATTAAGAATTGTGAATCATTATCTAAAGATGAAGTAATCTAAATATGCTCTAAATTAATTCATTAATATACAAGTTAATAAATAAAGTAAATGATTTTGGATGATTTCGCTGAAATTGACAATGAAATAATAAATTTTTTAAATGATTAAATTTTGATACCTATAATTGAGAATACTTCAAAAACACTAAAACAATTATATGATAATACAAAACCAATAGATGAAACATAGGTAATCTTATTAATTTAATTAGAAATAAATTGTTATTTTTGAATAATAAAACTAATAGAATTTATAAAATGAAGAAATTACTAAAAGAATATAATGTGTAAATAATTTGATATTATAATTTAGCAATTCTTAAATTAAAAAAGTGTAGAATCTTAAACTTAATTTAAATATGATTTAATAATGTAAATAGAAGAAAAAGAAGATTGTTGGTGTATGCTATTTAACAAAGATGAAACTTTGTTAGTAACATGTCATGATTCAAAGAAAATAAAGATTTATGAATTTACTGAAAAAAAATTAAAATTACTTTAAATTTTGGCAAGTCAAACATCAAAATTATTTGCTATCTAAATTCATAATGTTTCAAATTAGATTATTATAAGTGATAATAAATCCATTATAATTTGGAATTATTAACAAGAAGAGAAAAAATGGAGTTAAGTATAAATTTTATAACAACATGATGATTCCATTAATTGTTTAATAAGTAATTAAGAAGAAACCATGTTAATAAGTGGTGGAGATGACTGTAAAATAAATTATTGGTGTAAATAAGAAGATAATGCTATGTTATGGATGCTTTAAGGTTCAATAGTTGTTCATAAAACTAAAATACTTAGTTTAAGTATGAATGAGAAATAAGATTATTTGATTTCTTCAGAATATGATAACAAAATAGTTATTTGCAAATTGTAATAAAATAAGTAATGGTTACATATTTAAATAATTTAATTAGATACTCGTTGTTGGAGAATTAGTTTTATTAAAAATAATTTATTTGTAGTCTAATAAGAAAATGGAATATTGAAAACATTTTATTAATAGAATATCAATTAAGAATTTTTATTACATTAATAACTCAAGATAAGTGAATAATAAAGTTGTTAATATTGGTTTCCACTTGTTTATAATAAGAAAAATTAATTACTATTAAATAAGCATCATAATTCAATTTATTTTATGAGAGAATAAAATAATATTTTAACTGGAGAATTGAGTATTTGCTTTGAAGAATAAGATTTTTGGGGAACCTTATCAAATAATTCAGAATACTTAGCCACATGGGATGTTAAATCTAAATAAATATAAATTAGAAAATAAAAATGATTAATATTAATATCATAATCCAAAAAAAAGATATTTTTTAAGAATTTATGTATATTTACTTTGCTCTCAAAGATATTTATTAGAATTTTAATATTTTTAATTCTTGCATTATCAAATTATCATAATTAAAATTTACTTGTTAAATACAATAGTAATATAAGAAGAAGACTTCAAAATTATCATTTGTTATTTTATTATATATCACTTATATAATAGTTAAATAATCCTAAAGATTACTTTTAGTAATATTAATTTCAATTAATCGATTAATATAAATCTTTAAAATTTAAATATATTTTTATAAAAATTTCTAATACTTCTATATGATTATTATTTCATTTAATAATTCAAATCTTCAATTTTTAATTATATAATTAATATTTTAGTAAAAGAACAACTCTATTTTACAGAAATTGTTAGCTCTATTTCAGGCTATATAAACTGATAGAATTAAATATTAATCAGTTTATAGAAAATTAGAGAAAAAATAATATTTAAACTTTTAATATTTTTAAGAATTAACTTCTCATATGTTCATAATTCTTAATATTTTCTAATTTGTATTTCTTTTGATATTTCATCCCAAGTAATAAGATACTATGCATCATCACTCATAGATCCATATAACTTACTGCTTTGAAACTCAATAGATTACTATGTCACAAATTCTCCATTTTCATTGTTTTTTATTATATTTATATATTGACAATTCTTATTTACTAGCAAACGTCTTGATTTTATGTATTGTTAAGGAAAAAAAGGACTTTCATCTTCTTAACCACGCATAACTTAAATTCCTTTAGTTTTAGTATATTCATTGGCATTCTTCATTTCATATACATCCAATAAATCATTTAAATATGTTTAGAGTATGAATAAATTATCATCTATAAAACATACTCTAATACCTTTTTGTTAGATAGGTATTTTCTGTTTAATATTCCACTTTTTCTTTTATTTTTGGTATTCTAATATTAATATTTAGTTGTCCTAAGCACACGAGATCAATTTATTTTATTGTTCATTTAGACTTAGGGCATATACACATTATTTTTATATTATTTATTGTACAATCCATTAATTCTATTTGGCCCAAAATATAATTTTGTTATCAAGACCACCAGATACAAATAGATCTTCATTTTCATTCAAAATTAAACATCTTATACCTTATGAGTGTTCTTTAAGTCTTTATTATAAAATCCATTCATTATTTGAATTTAATTACCAAATTATTATCAATCCATCTCCTTCACTTCCAGAGATAAATTAATTAGACTTTTTCATAAAATTTAATGTGATGACATTATTTTCATGTTCTGTTAGAATTTAATTTTATTTCATTATTCCCTATCTAAACTCAAATACATATATATATTGATTACATCCAACCAATATGATTGAACAATTCTAATTGAAAACCATAGCACGACATGATTGCTCTTCTTTGATTGAACTTTCTTTCATTAAATTATATGTGAAATTAGTGTTATTTATTTTTTTAATAGGTTATTCTTCTTATTAAATTAAATAATTATTTTTGGATACTTCTGATTCTATTTTCCCAATTTAATTAAGATTTGGGTTTGGTTTCTTTTTTTTAAATAATGTAGTAATTTCATCAAATATTTAATTCTATATATATGGATTTAATTATGTAATTTGATCCAATTAACATTCTTATAAAAACAGAAAATTATCTTTCACTATTTGATTAACTAATTTATCTTAATTAGTATACTAAGTTTAAAGTGGATCTTCTGAATTTGATATATTTTATATTTTATTCATTTCATCAAGTATTTTCAGTATTTCTTCTCTTGATAAATTTTACCATTCAAGATTCATTTCTTTTTTACTTTATTCTACATTTAATTTATATTAATTATAATTATTGTCTAACTTCGTCAAATTTTAATCAACCGATTACTTAATTTTTTCTTACATCGATTACATGTTTTCATTAATTTATTGAACTTTACCTTATATTTCTAGTAAATTCCTTTACAAACTTTCCTACCTTTTTTTTACAATCTTATTCCATTCAGAATGAGCATGTTCAACTGATTTATAATTTTATGAATTGTATTAATCCAAACATAATCTACAAGCTAAACGCCTTGACTTGTTATTCTCTGAACCCATATCTAGTATTTTTATTCTCTTTTATGTATGTTTTTCACAAAATATATTTAATTACTAAAATAATAATAAATAAAATCTTACAACTTTTAAATTATCTTACATCTAATCCATCCTTTTTTTTTCATCTACATTAGAAACAAATTGAATATTTTCTAAATTTTTATTACATGTTTACAATATTTCTGGTAATTGTAGCTATTTTAACAATTCTTCAATATTTATTTTAAATTAAGATAAATGCTTAATATATGTATTTTATAATTATTAAACAGAACTTAAAAATTATTACATATCATATTATTCTTGCTTATTAACTTCTGCTATAAATGAATCCCCAGAAGCTTTAATCTAACTTTTCCAACTTTCCACATCTTAATTAATCTTATCTGCTTAATTAATATAAAACTATTTGAGTAAATTAATATTTGTTTTTAACTCTTCTAATGAGGCTATATTTTTTTAGACTTACTCTTATTTTTCTTTATTAAATAAAGATTTCATGTTCTAGACATTTTTCATCTAATCTTCTATCAGAATAGCTTTCCCCTTTATAGCTAAACACTCTAGACATAATTTTGCTTTTTCAGCAGATTAGACGGCAATGAATTTTTCATTATGTTAACAAAATGGAATTTATTATTCAGACATTAAAATTAATATTCCGAATAATATATAATTTTTTTCTGTTTTAATAGAATTGGAATAATAATAATAGAAAATTTCATTTATTTAGTTTACTAATAGCATTCATAAATTTTTTAATTTTCCTAATCCATATATATATATATATATATTTAAAACTTAATTATATATTTTGATTCTTCATACTTATCTTGGACATAAATAAATACTCAAAAAAAAATATATATTAAATTTGCTGAAAAGTATATTAAATGAAGTCTAATATTGTAATATATTAATTAATTGAACATAATTTAAAGCAAATACTTATATAAAAATTACAAAAATCTTATTTATCATCAATCATATTGCTTATAGATGTAAGTAAAAAATAGCATAGAAAAGAGAGATATAAATAAAATAGGTAGGATAATTACTGAATAAAAATGAACAGAGAAAATATTAATAATAATTAGTAATTCTTTTTAGTTAACAATTATAAAAATGGATAATTGATTTAAAAGAAATAAAATATATTATGAATTAGATGGATGGGTGTAATTAAATGACAAAAGTTAAGTTAATTAGAAATATATTTATAATAATCAGAAATAAAAATAATTATATAAGTGAAACCTTTAGAATCAAGCAAATTAATTTAGAAAAGTGAAATTATATATATAAGTGATAAATCATTTCCTTATCTGTTAGGACTTTTGATGTATGTAAATAAAACTTGTTTTTAAAATTTTCTTAATTTATCATTTATTGATTGTTTTGAATTCTTAATTTTTAACTTTACAATCTTAAAATCGATTCCAATATTTGAATAAACTATCTCAAAATAATTTTAATTAACTATATTAAAGTTCATGCATATGATCTTTATAAAATGAAGATAGCCAAAAGAATAATAGGATGAAGATTATTTTTAGTAAGTGAAATAATGCATTCTTCAGATATTCAAATGAATTTAATGAAGTATATTTAAGAAAATTTATTTTTAATATCTCATTAACTAGTTAGAAGTGAATTACGAAAATATTATCATAAAAAGATTTAAAGATTCAAAAATATTTGTAATATTTTCTAAAAATATTAATATCACAATCTAATTCCATCTGTTTTTCGTATTTTATTAATGGTCAAGTCATATTGAACAAGATTAGTCACTGCAGAATCCTACTTATGTTTCTGCTCTTGATACTTAATTATCTTCAGTTGAATTAGAAGTATCATCTTATGCTTCAGTTGTGGTTTAAGCTGTTAAGATATTTCATGTAAGTCTACTGCTACAAAGAATTTTAAAAAAAATTATTCTAATTTTTACTACTGCTTGCTAGTTTTACTGAATTGTAACCTGTATAAACAAATTTGTCGATTTACTTATTTTTAAATAATTTACTATCAATGTCTTGATTTAATATGGGAAATTCCTTAATTCTAAATTATTTATCATCATCAAAATTGCACAAATAACTTCCATCTTAATATATTGTTCTGATCTTTCTGTATCTTGTATCCAATATCCATCTGATTAAGTAGGCTCTTAAGTCTTTTATCTCATTTAGCCCTCTCCTTGTTCTAGGCTCATTTAACCTTATCAGTAATTAGGACCCATCTGACTTTATTGTGCTAACGTTGGTTAGTACTATTTTGCTTTGCTTTTTGGCCCATTTTATCCACTTAAGAGAATAGCTCTTTATTGTGTGTTACTTGGCTATTTAACACCTAAAAGAATTATCTATTGAAGATAACTGCTTCATTTGATGATCCCTTTTGAGCAATAAGGGGACACTATATGGAATCATTATTATCAGAGCTAGCTAATTTATACTAGATTATAAGAACTTACTTTAGCTACTTTGAGTAAGTTGTGTTAACACTGAAAAGACTATAAAAAAGTAGTAAAATTTTAATGATTTTCATTTAAAGTAATTTGATAATGTTTTATTATTATGAATATATAAAATTATGAACCCCTAACTCTATAATATATAGTTTATTTCTTTCATTCAAAAATACAATAGCAATAATGCTTTATCCAAAAAATCATTTAAGCTTTGAAAATTAAATTATATAAAATTTAATGACTACAGAAATGAAGGACAAATTGCTGTCTAATTATAGCATAAAATATCTGATTGATTTTAAAGAAATATAACTTTATTATTTTAATTTAGTAATAGAATCATATTCATAAAAAATTCTCACCTAAAATAGTTTTACATAATATAATAAAAGAATTACTTATTAAAATATAGATTCTTACATTTTTTAAATTTGTTTTGGATCATATGTTCCTCATAAGTATATCAAATCAAATACATACTTTAAAGAGATATATGATGAGAAAACAAAAAATTGATAACTCTAAAATTTATGGGTTTATATATCTCGTTACAAAATAGAATGAAAAGTAAGTTCAATTATTACTTATATAAAGAATTCAATAAATATGAAATGCTTTACTTTAGAAGGGTTAGATTAAGAGAATTTATAATTATATCAATTTAATTTCATCTTCAATTCGAAGCCAATGGTGATGATTTAGAGTGTAGAAAGACATGAGTAAGAAAAAGAAAGAAGAATCTTGATTAGTTGAAATAATTGAAGCAGACTGTTGGAAGTATAAAATAAAAGATTTGTAAATGGAAGCATTTGCGAAATGAATGCAAATCAACATTGGAGGCTAATATAATTAAATTATATGAGGATTATCATATTTTGTGTTCAATTAATTGAAAATATAGAAGCTTAAATCCTATAAATTATAAGTATTTTACACAATATTAATTGGACTTTTATGATTTTAAATGAAAAAAATAAATTATGTTATTATGAAATCTTTTTTAAAATAGAATTGAAATTGTTAAATTTTGATTTTATTTATTAAAATTCACTACAATCTTTATCCAGTTAATAAGATGGACTAACCTTGCATGACTGAACTTATATATTTTTGTTGATACTTTTTTCTTGAATTAAAAGTATTTTAATTAAGCTTTTGATATAATCAGAAGGAATTATTTTAGTTTTAAATAATTATCTTTAATCCTTTATTCTTTTTAATATTTTTCATTCAAAATAAATTCAATTTTCTTTGATGCTTATTTTAATCTAAAATATTTAAAAAGTAAAAATAAATATTTCAATATTATTAGTTTATATTTTTTATAATAAATCTTTAGTATATTATGAATAAATGGGAATGTGATAAGTACAAAAAGTATCATTAAACAGATTTAAAGAGCTAAAGATATCGCTTTATTATTTAACTTTTCACTTTCATATTTAATCGTAGATAAAAATATTGAAATTGAACATATTTAACCTGTTGATAAGTCAAATTTATTCAATTTTGTCATAATATAAGGCTTTTTATTAATTGCTATCAATTAATAAATAATTAGACTCAATCCTATTAATGATGCTTTTAAATGTATATTAGTCTCAAAATATGTTAAAATGAGTATCATTATAGCTCTTTTACTTAATTTTATTTATTCCCAATAATAACTTTATTTTTCATATTCATTATACAGATAACATATATGAGGTCTGAATATATGATTATCTAAATCATTTCTTTTAAAGTACATTAGTAAAAATAATAAAAAAGGAATTAAGAAGCCAAAAATTATCAATCCAGGAAGAACAAAATTCATAATCCATTTATGNAATTCAATAAATATGAAATGCTTTACTTTAGAAGGGTTAGATTAAGAGAATTTATAATTATATCAATTTAATTTCATCTTCAATTCGAAGCCAATGGTGATGATTTAGAGTGTAGAAAGACATGAGTAAGAAAAAGAAAGAAGAATCTTGATTAGTTGAAATAATTGAAGCAGACTGTTGGAAGTATAAAATAAAAGATTTGTAAATGGAAGCATTTGCGAAATGAATGCAAATCAACATTGGAGGCTAATATAATTAAATTATATGAGGATTATCATATTTTGTGTTCAATTAATTGAAAATATAGAAGCTTAAATCCTATAAATTATAAGTATTTTACACAATATTAATTGGACTTTTATGATTTTAAATGAAAAAAATAAATTATGTTATTATGAAATCTTTTTTAAAATAGAATTGAAATTGTTAAATTTTGATTTTATTTATTAAAATTCACTACAATCTTTATCCAGTTAATAAGATGGACTAACCTTGCATGACTGAACTTATATATTTTTGTTGATACTTTTTTCTTGAATTAAAAGTATTTTAATTAAGCTTTTGATATAATCAGAAGGAATTATTTTAGTTTTAAATAATTATCTTTAATCCTTTATTCTTTTTAATATTTTTCATTCAAAATAAATTCAATTTTCTTTGATGCTTATTTTAATCTAAAATATTTAAAAAGTAAAAATAAATATTTCAATATTATTAGTTTATATTTTTTATAATAAATCTTTAGTATATTATGAATAAATGGGAATGTGATAAGTACAAAAAGTATCATTAAACAGATTTAAAGAGCTAAAGATATCGCTTTATTATTTAACTTTTCACTTTCATATTTAATCGTAGATAAAAATATTGAAATTGAACATATTTAACCTGTTGATAAGTCAAATTTATTCAATTTTGTCATAATATAAGGCTTTTTATTAATTGCTATCAATTAATAAATAATTAGACTCAATCCTATTAATGATGCTTTTAAATGTATATTAGTCTCAAAATATGTTAAAATGAGTATCATTATAGCTCTTTTACTTAATTTTATTTATTCCCAATAATAACTTTATTTTTCATATTCATTATACAGATAACATATATGAGGTCTGAATATATGATTATCTAAATCATTTCTTTTAAAGTACATTAGTAAAAATAATAAAAAAGGAATTAAGAAGCCAAAAATTATCAATCCAGGAAGAACAAAATTCATAATCCATTTATGATGAGTATCTGTATTAAATTCTAAAGTTAGATCTCCAGATATATATTAAATGTTTGATATTTCTCTATATGAAACAACAGAACATAACCTAATTTTAATTTATATAATTACATTTTGATAAATCCAGCATAATTAAAAATATATAAACAAAGTAAAGTATTGGAAATGTTGTCTAATTTAAATTTTTAATTATTAAAAATTGAAAATATTATCAAACCAAAAATTATGATAACAAATTGCAATAATATTAATATTAAAATTAAGATAATTTTAGAATAGATTAACTTAACGTTAGCTATTTCAGATAAATAACAATCTAGATTATTAGCCATTGAATAAGATTAATTGCTGGCTTAATCAACAAAATTGAATTAAAAGGAAAAATTAATATTCAATGAAAATATTACTGAAAATATCCATAAATAATTTAAAAGCATTTTTATTAAAATACCTTCAAAATCTACAAATAGTAAAATAGAATACCTTAATTTAATTTAAAAAGAATTTAATTAAAACTTCCTTAAATTTTATAGAATAAGAAAAGATTATTTGATTTTCCAATGCTTTTTAAAGTAAGAATTATCGAAAGTATAGCCCTAAGTTTATTAAAATAATTTACCAAAGTGTGTTGAAAATGAAAGGGATTATGCTATCTTGGGTACTAAAACAGACAAAGCATTCAGAATTTTATTAATTTTTAATGAATTTTCCATTTCCTTGAACATTGTAAATATCACATTCTTCACACAAGGCACCAACATGTCCTTCACTACAAAGTGCATCTCCAACATTCCATCCTCCTAAACAAAATTTTGTTATTTTAAAGCATTAAGTAGATTAATCTGATAAATAATTTGGTCTCCAAAATCCTTCCAATAACTTAATTTGATTTGAGGATATCTCTTCAAATTTTTCTTTATCAAATATAGAACATTTATTTGAATCATATGTTACAGAATAAAAACCTTTATTTGATTCACATAGTTAGCATCCATTAGCAACATAAAATTCTCCAAGTTAACATTTATAACTTTTTGCTTAGATAATATATTTTAAAGAATTCTTATATTCTAAAGTAGAACAAGTAATATCAATTTCTAAATATTTATAATCCTATATATAAGGGTCAAGTGTAAAAGAAATTGAACTTAAATCAAAATGATTTTTTTCAGCATTAAAATTTAATTAAACATGTTATTGATTTACATCAATTTATTCATTCTTCTTTACTATATTTTCAGTTATAATACAGGATGAATTAACTAAATTTTTCTGTAATTCATTTAAATTATTGTTATAGAGTAATTCAATTTATTAAATTTATCTAATACTTTATGAATATTTTGGAATAACAAGAGAGTATCCTTAGATTGTTGATCCACTAGGAATCATTAAATATGAAGTTTTAATTTTAATTTCTTGTTCTATAGTCATGTAAGGAAAAATTCTTAAAATATTCGTTTAAATATTATGAAATTTTTATTGTTTTCCTTACATTTCTAGAGAATTTATAAATAATGCTAAATGTGTTGGACTTTCAACTAAATTATTAGCATAATCATAAGCATAATTATAGAGCAGATAAGTTTAAATAAAATTATGTTGATTTAAATTGCTGTCACCACTAAAATATATTCCTCCACCTTCTTTTGCTTTATTTCCAATAATAATAGAATTTTTGAAGTTAAATTAGTCACTTTTGAGTTTAAAATAAATGCCTCCTCCTTTTTAGCTAGCAGTGTTTGAAATTATTTTACAATTTTAAATTAGTATTGGACTATTTGATGAAATAGCAACTCCTTAACTACCAGTATTTTAAATGAAATTGGAACTTATTACTTATATCGGCTAAGATTTTACATTTTCATCCACAATTTTTAAGCAACCATACTATTAAATAACATTGTAATAGCAATTTAATTCTTATATTTTGATATAATTAAAAGTTAGTAAATCAAAATAAATTAACCCATTGATATAATTTATACAATTATTTTCCACGATTTATAATTGATTAAAATAAAAAGAATGCTTATTTTAAAGGCTTTTAATATAAATTAATGAAAGTGGTGTTTATTTATTTTTTTCCATTTCTTAAAGTATATCATTCAAAAAATAAAAATTTTAATTTCCAAATGTTACATTAGATTAATTGACTATTACAACACATCCATCAAGTAAAAAATTGAAGTCCTCTATAATAATCTTTTGAAGTCCTGCTTAATAAGTTAAACTATTTAAAATACTTACTTTATTTATTAATACTTTTGATTCAATATCTATCATCTAATTTATATTAATAAAATTGAAAGAATAAAATCTTTATAGCTATTTGATATGCAGATTTTTTAATTTTACTATTGGTGCATTTACTATACTTAAAATTGGTGATAAATAAACACCTACAAAACTAACATTAATCATCTACATTGAACAACCTTCAATATAAAATAATGAATTTTAACTGCTTGAAATATCTAATAATTCTCTCAAACTTAAATTTCCCATTTATGAAAATAGTAAGATCCAAGAATCCAAATTTTAAGTGATCATAATATTTTGTATTTTTATTTAATTTTAATCAATTATTTTATTTGAGAATTCTACCAAAAGTATTTGATTCATTAATGATAAACAATCATAAATCTGAATATCCATTAAACTAATTTTATTTTTAATCGAAGATGGTTATATTGATAAAATAGATGAAGACATTCTATTAAACACATTCTTAAACTCAGATTATTAAATTGTTATATCCAAAAGACTGTTAATTGTATATATGCTTATACAACCTGAACTATTATATACTTATTTTAAGTCATTTATTATATTATTTGCCTTGATTAATGTTAAATTTATTATTCCAAAATCTTCAGTTTTTATTTCAAAAATTGCACTCTTTGATGATAAAATATTATAAAATTGGCAATTTAAACATGTAAACATAGTAGCTGTTATCTAAGCAACTCCTCCTATATTTTTTATATTTAAAGCTTAAAGAGCAAATAAATTAATTTATTATTAATTAAAGATTTAATCTAATTTGACATTATAATATTTTTCCCATAATTTCTAACTTAAAATATTATGATTAGATATTTATAAATTTTACATAAATATTGTTTTTGAATTGATAAAAATAAAAGAATTGGATGAATTTGTAAATGCATTTCTTTCAGATAATAAATTAATAATTTAAACTTAACTAGATTTTATATTTAAAAAAATTAAAGAAGCATAGGATTGCCAAATACTTTCAGCTTATGAGTGAAAACTATTTTCCAAAAATGTTATTCTATTTACTACAACTTTAATACTCTATTCTGAATTTATAGTTAAAAGTGAAAATGATTTTTGAGATTTTTTAAACAATTACAAATTTCCAATAAAATTCAAATCACTTAATTCTAATTTTGAAGAATTAGAAAACTCTTTTGCTTGTGAAAAATCAACAAAGGATTCATCTATTGTAAATTAATTTATTATTTAAATTGAATTAATGATTAAATTATGAAAATTGTCTATTTTCAAGAGTTAATTTTTATCATTATTTATAATTTGGCAATTTTATAAAAATGGCAATTAATATATTTAAAAAGGATTTTCATAAAGTATATTTGATATCATAATATCCTTACCTTCAAATATGTTAAATATAAGAATATTTTTTAGGTTTCGAAAAATCAAATCTTAAATTTGTAATTTAAAACATCTAATTTTAAATAGATATTAATTATTATCTGAATTATTGACGTTTACTATTTCATCAAAGATTAAATTTGTTATAACTAAATCAACTTGGCTAGATTCTATATTTGTTTATATTCTCAAAAATTTAGAGTTATACAATTAATTGTTATTAGCTTCAAACTAATCAATAACTTAAAAACTTTATAAATTCTCATTTTTCTCAATAACACAAATAAATTAGGATTCTTAGAATTAGTTTTGTTTGACTTAAAAATATTTTAGAGACAGTATATAATTTGATGAAAAAAAAATATTTGAATAAAGTACTGAATTGTTTTGAAATTATAAATTAACAAGAGAAAGTGAAACATAATTTTAGCAGTTAAAAAGGCTTGAGTTTATGAATTTACTATTTTTAATTACGATATTAAGAAATTCTATCTTACTTAATTGTTAAATATTTGAATCGAATAAAAAAAAATTTGAATTTGTAATTACACAGTCTTCTATAATAAGATTTTTTACAGATAAAATAACTTGATTATTTATAAATTAAAAGACATTTGAATGTAAAAATGTACTATTTCTTATCACAAAGTTTTCAAAAATTGTTATTCCTGAAAGTAAACAATCTTTTAAATTTAAAATTGAAGAATTATCAAATTGTAAGTTTAATAATTATATATTAATTAAATGAACATTAACAAATCTTTTACTTTAAAAAATTGATTAAATGTTTTTTATTTCAGTTTCTAAAAAAGTAACATTTTACAAACTTAATTCAGTATTTTAATTGTTGTTTTCGATGTTAAAAATTGAGTTAGTTACTTTATAAAAAATTATTTAGTTAATCTCTAGTTTATCAACATTATTGATTTTCATTATGCTAGGCATTTGCAATATCAAATCCTTTCTTGCATCCAAAATGATATGAAGGTATTTGAATTAAAAAATTTTAGTTTTAAGTTTACTATCAATAAAAAAATTAGCATATTAACATACATACCAAGTACTAGTAAAAGTAAATCTAACAATCAAACTATCTATACCCAATTTATTTAAATATTCTATATTCAATTCTTCTTCCCACATTATATGAAAGAAATAGCATTCATCAATTATTTTTTGAAACTAGAAGATTGATGAACAATTTTCATCAAAACAATATTTAGCAATTTAATCATATGGATCCAAATAAATCTAAGGATGATTTACGGTTTTTAGACACTTTTTAGTAAAAATTTAATTGTTATCATCAATTATAAAATTTGGTTGATTACTCTAAAATAAATATATATGTAATAATTACAATTATTTCATTATTTGTTCTGACTTAACAAGCTTAACAAAGTTGGGTACATTCAAAACATTTTCCATCAATTTAATTTCTAATAGGTTAGTAATATTAATTTAAAGGACAAGTATTACAATAATAACCTTGAATTTTATCATATTTACAATCTAAACATAAAGGATCACAATTCTTAAAACAACCAAAATAAGGAGAAAGTCGATAACCTTCTAAACATTCAACTACCATTTATGAGAGTACTTAATCAAATTTAGATTAAAAGTAAAAATATTGATTTGGTAGAAATTTCATCATGAAACTCTAAATTCTTAACACCCATCCATCCATTTTTGGGTAAACTCCTTCAATTATTATTTTAGCTCCTTATTATTTATATTCATCAGCCAAATAACATCCTCCAGTTGAAATAGATGTAATATATCCAATCTGACAGACAATACACTTAATTGTGAATTCTGGAGATTAAATACATTGTAAACAATTAGGTTAAAGATTTTAGCAATTAATTATTTCAGGAGCCAATGAAAAATCATGAATTTATGATAATGTACAAACTTCTTAACCATTATAAATATAAGATTTCAAACAATTTTATATTTTTGGAGTATAAAATTAACAAACTCCAATATCAAAGTCAAAAATAAAATTATCTTCACATAATGCACACCCAATTTTAATTTCTTAGTCTATATCAAAATCATCAAAATTATTGTAAAGAGTGCATTTAGATAAATCATTAGATTAATATTCAAAGCAGTATTTACAATTAAGAATAGGACATAATTTACATTATCTTTAGGAATTTAAATACTCTGAAACCAAACAAGCAAATTATTCAATAGAATATACGTTTATTAATATACAATTACCATCAATCAATTAATAATTTTAATAACATTAAATACAATAATAGCTATGAATATTTTTTTAAGATTCTAAACAACCATCAAGGTCTATAAGTAAAAAAGTTTGTTATTTTAAAGTTATTTCAGTCTCAATATCATAATCATCAACAATAAAAGAATATGAACTATTGCATTTTAAACATTCAATTAAATCAATCCCATCAAAAAGAAAATATATATAATCACTTTTGAATTAATCAGTTTTAACATCACCTTTTTAATTTAAGAATAAATCATTTTGACAATAAGGATCTTTACTCCAACCCTATGGATTTTATAAACATTCTTAACAAGTTGCTAATTAATCATTAATTATTGAAGGGCTAATATATATTTATTATATTTTATTACCAACGTATACAATCATTTTCATATTCAAAATAACCATATTTACATTTAGGCATAACCTTCTTTAAATTTGATAATTATAAATTAGAATCTTAATAAGTAACACAATTTTCTTTATCAATAGTATTAAATGGACATACACATGCTTTGAATTCAGGCAAATAGATTCTTAAATCACTACAAGATAAACAATTATTCTAAGATGGTCCATCACATTCTAAACAACTATGATGACAACTTTATTAAGTATCATCTGTTTCACAATTATTAAATAATATATTCCTAAATAAAATATTTAAATAATTTGTTTTAGATTAATTTATATTACCATATTGAAGTTTATATTAAGTACACTTAAATTACTTTACCTGCTCATAAGTACTATATTCATAAACATCATAGTTTTCATAAAATCTAATATTAATTATCAATTAATCATCAACTAGCTTTATTTTTAACTATTACCAAAGAGTTATACTATTCTAAATATCAAACTCTTTTTCTATTAATAATTAATCATCAGAAATTACTGATGGAAATGTGTAACTATAAGTTGTAATAATTATTTAATTTATTATTCCAGAAATTTTATAAGTCAAAGTGAATGGAGATAAGGTTCTTTTTGATAATGAATTTTAGAAATTCGATGAAAGAATAAGGAAAGGATAAATAAATTCATCTTAACTTTAATTAATAATATCTGTTATTTTTAGCCATCCTGATAATTCAAAAGAATTGCAATTTATATTTTCAGAAGTAAAAACTAAATTATCTAAATATTTCATAGCATTATCTTCTATTCTTAATTTGTTATTAATTTTACAATTACATAAATTGTATGGTTCAAAAGTCATTCTTGCCAAATCTTCTTGATCTTCATCTACAGATATCTCTCCAAATTCATATTCAACTAATATCATTTTACCAGGAAAATAAGAATATTTTGTACCTGATAAGATTGTTGAAATCATAGATTGTTTTACTATCATGCCACCCCCAAAAATTAACATTAAACTTTGATTTTTAAAAGGTTGTGTAATTTTTAAGTTTTCTCGAATAGTTTTCTATTAATATATAAAAATTAATTCAAATCTCTCTGCTAATCTATTAATATTTTTGCAAAAAAAAGGGATGCAAATTTATTTTGATATCATATTAAATATTATATTTAAAAGGATTTTACTATACTTATCATAATAATTATAATTGAAATTTATAAGCATAATAATTTTAAGAAGATTTTATATCAACTATTTTGATTTATTATATATGACCTTAAACATTTAGATATATTTTCAATTATTCAAGAATCTGGGAAAACTTTTCTATTTATAGAGGTGCATCAGGGATTTAAACAAATAACTTTATTTTCTAATAAACCTCTAGCATAATTAATTTATACTTCAATTAAACAATAATCTACAATTACATACGTCGTCGTTTCTATTAACCATTTTTATTTTCAATAAAAGGAAATTATACAAAAAAGTCAATTTATTATAAATTAGAGATTACACAGCAGGATGGAGATTATAATTTGCTGATATATAATCAGTATATTGTTCTTAATATTCTTAATTTTGTAGGCACTAATTTTGATTTATGGATCTTTTTTTTTTTTCTTTGAATCATTCAAATTATAGGGTTATATAAATGAAAATTCAAATAAAACTAACATTATTTTTAATTCATTTGAATATTAATAATCTAATTTCAGATTTCAAATATAAAGAAAGAAAATTTTTAATAAATAATATTCAAATAATGTCTGAAATATTTAATATAAATTATAGAATGGTATTAAATGACCAAAAATACATATGATAATGTACATTGTGAATTAAATAAAAATTTATATCAAGAAAAATTTTCAGTTTAAATCAATAAGAAAACTGAAAATTATGAGACTTATGTAAAAGTTCAGCTAATAATAACATTTAGTGGAAAAATGAAATTAAAATATTTTTTAGTGTGCTTAAAAGGGGTCATGTTAAATGGAGAGTTAAAAGAGCTTAAAAAATAGACTTAGAAAAATAGTGGTCTGCAACAATAGATACAATAGTTTTATGAAATATTAATTGATTTATCATTCAAAAGAGTACCATAAATAGTAATTAATATGAAATTATATAAGATTAATCAATTAATCTTTATTTTTTTTTATAATTAAAGTTATTAATACAGTATCATGGTGAATAAGAGAAATTGAAAACGAATAAATTTCTGACCCAATACTTAAATTACATTATCATTTAAAAAGATGGCAATTATGAGCCAATTTAAATTTAACTTTCAAATATACTTCTATAATTTATATTAATTATTATTAATAGTAAATGAATAGGAATTTTTAAGAATAAATTTCACAAGAATTATAAGTTTTTTATCTTAGTAAATTAATTATAAATATTCATTAATAAATATTTATTAATGTTTAATCAAATTAATTTTACAAATGTTAATACATCTAAGAGTAATTATTCAAAGTTTAAATTATTTAAACAAGTAGATTTATAATTTTCTTACATATAAATTAATAAATGTTTTATAAATCATTTAATATTTTTCTAATTTATAATTTTTGGTTCAAAAAATTGATAAAAGTCTTAATTTATACTAAATTAATTCAATATTTCAAAATAATAAAGAATTATTTCAATAAATTTTATTATATTTTCTATTTAATATCTTATTAAGCACGTATTTTTTACAATTGTTAAAACTATATTTATATTAGAATATATCAGATTAGTATTTTTATTGTAGGTTCAAAGATTTAGGAAGTATAAAATTAAGAGATTGACAGAAATTAAAAAAACAAGTATTCACAAGAAAGTGCAATCATTACTTTTGCTCATGATGTAGCAATAAAAAATAAAAACACCTAACATTTTTTTTAACTTTTAATTTGTGATGCAGGACAGAGAAAAAAATTAAAACTGGTGTTTCAATGATTATTGCAAGAATCTTAATGAAGATATGATTGCATAGTACCTAGCAATATTTGGACTCAATCTGTTGACCTGCAAACCCTTACTTAATGCCCTCTAGTTTACTGACTAAGAGGAAGATATTATTAAAACTTTTTAGACTTCCAAGATTGCCAAATTCGCTAACCTTATTCTTAGTTCTTAGACTAAAATGTCAGCTTTTCTTTCTCTACTTGAAACGAGTCACTTGAAAGGAACTTTTCCTCAAAAAATGGAATTTGGACTTGAATATCCTAAAGTTATTCCTCATCAACTTGTCTCATTGCCTAAGACCTAGAAGTGCCTTAATTTGAGGATTCTTGTTTAGATGTTCTTAAGCTCTGTCTAAACGAAGGTATTTTTGCTGAATGATGTGGAAGTTGCTAGTATGTTCTAAATTTAAGAAAATTGAAAATTCCTAAAAAAGATACGGAAAATATATTTGAGATAATAGCTTAGGAAGAGAAGATATAGATCTAGATTCATCATACTATGTTCCCAGATAATCAACCAAAAGTTTATGGTCTTCCTATTAATCATAAATCTAATTATTTTATTAATATGTGGATTTTGTTGGAAGAATTAAACTTTTATCATGTTACAGCTTTAGATTATTTATCTGTTAGATCCTTAGCCTTTATATAGATGATTGAGATTGAATATCAACAAATAGATTATTCGCATTATTTATTAAATAAGAGAAATTGGGAAAATACTAATCTATCTAAATTAAGTTTTAAAGGAATTAATACCTTTAATTGGTTGGAAGAAAGACCTGATAAATAGAGAGACCTAACTCTACTAAATCGGATTCGAGAGATTGGAATCATTTGGCACTTGTTAATTTAAGTAATTCTTAAATTAATTCTTCTATCAGTGGTGAGCTTGATTAATCCTGATCATCAACTGGTAAATAAAATATCTCTTAGATACTTAAAGAGAAATCTTTTATAATCTAATCTGTTCAAATTCAATAAGGTTAATAGAAAAAGTCCTGCTTAGCCTCATCTCGGTAATTAATCATCGATAAGGCTGGAGAATATTCTTCAGTTATTGATGGAAAATTGATTATGATACTGATATACTTAGATTAACTATGATGGTAAAAGTTAATTAATTTTTTCAATAGTCACAAATATTCCTAGATAGGATTGTTGTTAAGAAGTTCCAGGAAAAATTTAAAGAAATAACTTAAAAAGGAAAAATGAGTATTATACAAATTAAATTAAACTATTCATATATAAATTATTAAACCTGGACCACCGGCGAATAGTGAAAAATTTTCTATCGCATAGATTACTAAAGAAATGATTGAGGATCAATATGACACTATTTTCAAGGAAAATGTTACATTTCTTTAAAATAATGACCAATGATAATTTAAAATTTATTTGACATATATTTATCTTAATATTAGGGTATATGTTACAAAAGCAGAAATCTAAGATTTATTAGAAAAAAAAGTTGATTAATTTGAAGAATATCTAGTTAATACGAAAAAGTGTTATTCTTTTTTGTATCATTTAATTAAGCATTTATAAACACAGAAAAGTAATTAAATTTAAATTAATTATTTACATTATGGGTGATATTGGAGAAAAAAATTTATAATAGAAATCAAATCAATATTTTGGATTCTTAAGCTAATTAGTTGTTGAGATATTAGGAGATCTTATTCTTAAATATTTCTCTGGTAGATGAACATACATTATACAAGATATCATTCAAGAATATTTGTTTTAGAAAATATCTGATTCTAATACTACTGAATTGCAATATCACACAAATAAAAAAGTCTTTTTCTATAGAATTTAAAACAAAATATTGATAATAATTCCCACTGATATTATATAGGAACTTATGTTTCTAATTACTTTAATAATAATCAAAAATATTTATTATAAATAATTATATTGATACTTTATTTATAGTAATAAAAAGAATAATAGAGAAAGAATTAGTATTATTTCAAAAGCTAATGATATTTAAATTTATAGAATTATAGTTTATGATATCTTTTATACAGAAACCTAGATTCTATTTATAAAAAATAATAAAAGAAAATTTATGAATTTTATCCAATATTAATATATTACAATAGTGTTGATTGAAAGGGGATAACTAATTTAAATTATGATATTATTAATAGGTAATAACTATTTAAATAACCATTTCCACTTTATTATTATTTAAAAAGAAGACTATATCTATTATAAGATAGCAAGAATTGGATATAAGTAAACCTTAAAGAAATTTGAGTTTGAATGAAAGACTTAATTTAGATGAATATGATTTTCTCTAATTTTATATTGAATTGAATAGAAAGAATATTGACAATCAATAAATTTTTAAGTATTTTCTCATAAAATTCCAATATTTATAATAAAAATTTTAAATATATATATTGAGACTTAAAAAACGGAAAACCATTAATTTAAGTCTAGAAAGTCTTAATGAAGAATTCTCACAAGAAAATTTAGATTCTATCATCTTTTTAGTTTCATAACTTAAGATAATAACTTGATAATAATGATTATTATAATATGTTATTTTAAGTTCAACTTTTCATGGATCTTAAAATTCTATATTAATGATTTCTTCTTCTGTTTTTGCTTAATTATAAAGTATCTATTTTACTAAACAATTAGTGGCTGTTATAATTATTTTAAATTCTTGATTAACAGATTGTATTTAAGAGAACTTGGGAAAATAACTTATTAAATTAATTTAAGAGTGACATTAATGATTAAATTGATAATTCTTCCCATAAGAAGAGCAAGAATTACATTTATTAAATTTAGATATTATTCGTTTTCCTGTAATACAATTTATTTCAAGAGCAAAATTGATATTCTAAATAGGTTTATAGACCCTAGTGGAATATTCTCCAACAGCATTATATATTTAATTTGTTTGCAATATTTAAACAAAAAATGTAGGTCTATTGCTTTATGATCTATCTAATTTCTAACTGATTCTTAAAGTAAAGCATTCTAATGCATAATTTTTATCAATTAATATGACATCCATAAACTTTGAACAGTGTATTCAGATTAATCATGAGCTACCCCTTTGATTTTTATATATAATTATTACAACTGAGAAATGAAAAAGTTGCTGTCGAAGCTCCAAATGTTTTTTAAGCTTTAAATCTCATTTGTTGTATATATTCTAAATTCATTCCTTGAATTGGCATTATGAGCCATTTATTGGATTCCAAATTTATTGCATTACTGGTATAATCTAATTTAAATTTCACTAATCCAAGATCTATAATATCTCTTGAAGCTACTAATAAGATCTGGTATCCTATTTATTTCAAATTTTAGAATATTCCTGGTACTTAAGTTATAGCAACTGAGACAGTGTCTTTTGTTAATTAGGTTACCTATAATAAATATAACAAATAACCAATAGTTAGAATTCTATTTTTCCACTATAACCTAAACTTGTTAGTCCTATTATTGCAGCATAGGAATTCAGTAATTGATGATTTAATACTTTATCCTAAGGTGGATCAACATTAAATGAATTAATCACTTAAACCCTCGAATCATCTATGGCAATCCATTCATATCTGATGCTCCATATTAATCCAGCTCTTGGACATTTGACCAAAAAAGAAAAATCTAATTTAATTATAGCATTACCATTCAAAGTTATGGATGTGATTGAAAATTAGTATTCTGATTATACATTAGATATATCAAAATAATCTTAAAACATAAATACTTAAGGAATATTTTGAAAAGCCCCTGAGAATGATATCGTTCTAGTTGTCTAAAAATTATTTTGACATGAAAAATCTGCTCCATTAGTCAATTAGTATTATCCTGAGTCACTAAAGATGAATGAAAAAGCTGAAATGGACAAAATAAACAATAGGAATAGAGTCATTTAGGTTATTATTAAATTAATTAAATGTGTTTTTCTAAATTTTTTTAAATATAGAAAATTGGATTCAATCTATTATTTTTGAACCGATATCATCAATAAATTGAAAGTTGATAGATAATTTGTATTATAATGAAAAAGTAATACTAAATTTAAAAAGTATATTTTATAATTAAATTCTTTAATTAAATTTTAAGAGCATACTTAATGTATTAGGATCTTTGATGATTAACGTTAGAGGCTTTATGATCATTCTTTAGATGATAGATTGAACAAATTTTCAAACTTTAAGATAGATCTGTGATAAATGTAAAATTGCTTATAAAAAATTCAAAAAAGAAAATAAAATAATATATTTCATTTAATTTATCTTTAGTAATTTAAAATATTTAAAGAAAATTTTACTTAATTTTCATATTGAATATATATAAGCAAATTTTTCCAATTTGATATTAATCTTAATAATCAATTTATTTATTATCTTTAAAATATTGATTATTATTCATAATTTTATCTTGTTATTATCTTATCTGGATCTATTTTGATATATTGTCCATAGTTATCATGTTCATTCTTAGTTCAAGAATTTCCTCATTTCTATTGACTATACAACTAAAAATAAAAATTGTGAATTAGTATTAGAAGATATAACTATAAACAAATTCTATAAATCTATTTTAGGATAGTAGAATAATCTAAAGAAATCCATAAAGGTAAGGTTGATAACAAATTATTAATAAACTGAATCAAATTTATAGACTTAAAGATCTTTACATCCTCTTTAATACATAATTCCCCAATAAGGTTGGAATACAAACATGTGGTTACTGATAAAACTCAAACTCGTTCCACCGTTATTTGTATCAATTTATTAGATAACTTCAAAATTGTTTTAGTTAGAACCTTCCTTAATATCTTTTATTTACATTTCATACAAAGGTATAGTTTATTTACTTCTTAATTAATTATTAATCCATATTTTAATGTTCATCAATAATGTATTAGCAAATATAATATAAAGATTTATCAATACTCCATCCATGCTGGAATAAATTATTCTCTACTTATAATAAAATCAGATGTAATTAATAAACCATATTTGTGAAACAGTTGAATTTTGTTTTTTAATATCCTTTATGAAATTAAAATATTAATTGTTTTAATTATAGTGATTGATAATCTAAACAGTATTATTGTCATAGTTGTATTCAAATTAATAGCAAAATATCAAAATAAAGCATTTCTAAAATTACTATTATTTTTGATATTTTTCATCTTTTTATTTAATAATTTTTTAAAGTAAAAAGCATTAATAATAATAATAAAAATGGTAGTTTACAACATAATAAATATACCTTTATGATAATTTGTACAAGAAATAGGACAAAAAAGAATATTGATCATAGTCATCTTCAAATATTAAATTTCCATCATTAATTGTTTATAAATCTCCAAAAATATGTTAAGATTTCCAAATACTATTTGAGAATCACAAGATTTATCTATATTTGTATGTGCCATCATTATTCATTATTAATTCAAATTTCATAACATTTTAATGATATATTTTTTGTAATTGGGTAATCAATTATTATTATTTTTATAAATACTTGTATTAATTCTTAATAACCATGTTGGCCCAAAACATTCTCAACTATTCGTACATGATTTATCCTTTCATGAGCTTTTTCGTATTTTCCAACTTAATAATTTGAACTATAAAATTATTGCTGGATTATTTTCAATTTTATATATAAATAATCCATCAAGATAGGAACGCTGATAAAATACATAAAATGCAATAGTGATAATAGTTTATATAAGGATGAATGATATTATGAATCCTTAACAATTTAATCTGTAGGACCCTCTAAAAATTTTTTGTTTATTGAAATATGAATAATATATATAATATTAATTAATATTATATATATCTATTCCGTTAATAAAATTCTTATTATTTATAAATTAGTGTAGAAAGCGAATAGTATAAAACATTTACTATGAATTTTTTATAATCAGGATCAATAGTAAAATTTTAAGTAAACTAAATTAGATTTTTCTAATTCATATTTAGTTCTTTTTGTATTTTTGAGATGCAATTATACAAATGTTATTGTTAAGAAATTTAATAGAAGATTTCTTCAATTTTAATATCAACCTAATTTAAATTTTTTAAATTAGTATTAGGATATATATTATTTACATAATAAATTTATCTTAAATTTAATATTTGTTTGTATGTATTTATATTATTATCAACTGTTTATCTCAGTCTCACTCATTACTTTGAATCTCTTACTTTATGGATATATAAATCATATTAAGTTAAAACCTTATAACTGATTAGTGGTGAGTTATTTGAAATAATAATGATTTTGG